TTCAATGTCTTCCTTGCTCAAACGTCCCTTGTCATTAGTGATGGTAATCTTATTTTCTTTTCCTGTACTCTTATCCACAGCAGAGACATTGAGAATGCCATTGGCATCAATATCAAAAGTGACTTCAATCTGAGGAACACCACGGGGAGCAGGAGGTATGCCTGTAAGTTCAAACTTGCCAAGCAAGTTGTTATCCTTGGTCATGGCACGCTCACCTTCATAAACCTGGATGAGCACAGCTGGCTGGCTGTCAGAGTAGGTAGTGAAGGTCTGTGTCTGCTTGGTTGGAATAGTAGTATTGCGCTTAATGAGCACAGTCATAACTCCCCCAGCAGTCTCAATACCCAGAGAAAGAGGAGTAACATCCAATAGTAGCAAATCCTGAACATTCTCGGATCTGTCACCAGATAGTTTGGCTGCCTGGACAGCTGCATCGTAAGCAACAGCCTCATCGGGGTTGATGCTCTTATTCAGTTCTTTTCCAGTGAAGAAGTCTTGGAGGAGCTTTTAAATCTTGGGGATACGGGTAGAACCACCAACCAGGACAATGTCATGAATCTGTGACTTGTCTAGTTTGGCATCTTGAAGGGCTTTCTCTACAGGGTCCAGGGTGCCACAGAACAGATCAGTATTCAATTCTTCAAATCAGACACGGGTAATGGAGGTATAGAAGTAGGTATAAAGGGAATCAATCTCAATACTGGCCTGGGTGCTGGAAGATAAGAGTACACTTAGCACGTTCGCAAGCAGTACAAAGGCGATGGACAGCTCTTTTATTCTCACTGACGTCCTTCTTATGTTTGCGCTTAAACTCAGCAATAAAATGGTTGACCATTTGGTTGTCAAAGTCTTCGCCACCCAAGTGAGTATTTCCAGCTGTAGATTTGACCTCAAAGATTCCATTCTCAACAGTGAGGATTGACACATCAAAAGTGCCACCTCCAAGGTCAAAGATTAGCACATTTCTTTTTTATTTTTTTCTTTTTTTTGAGACAGAGCCTCAAGCTGTCCCCCCTGGGTAGAGTGCCGTGGCATCACAGCTCACAGCAACCTCCAACTCCTGGGCCCAAGCAAGTCTCCTGCCTCCGCCTCCCAAGTACCTGGGACCACAGGCGCCCGCCACAACTCCTGGCTATTTTTTGGTTGCAGCCATGATTGTTGTTTGGCAGGCCCGGGCTGGATTCAAACCTGTCACCTTAGGTGTATGTGGCTGGTGGCTTAGCCGCTTGAGCCACAGGCACTGAGCCAATTAGCACATTTCTTTCAGCTCCAACCTTTTTGTCTAAGCCATAAGCAACAGCAGCAGCAGTTGGCTCGTTTATAATCCTAAGAACGTTGAGACCAGCAATAGTTCCAGCATCTTTGGTAGCCTGACACTGAGAATCATTTAAGTAAGCTGGTACTGTGACCATAGCATTGGTAACAGTCTTTCCAAGATAGGCTTCTGCAATTTCCTTCATCTTTGTCAGAACCATGGATGACACTTCCTCTGGATAGAAACTTTTTGTCTCTCCTTTGTATTCTACTTGGACCTTAGGCCTGGCTGCATCATTCACCACCATGAAAGGCCAATGCTTCATATCAGACTGGATAACAGCATCATCAAACCTGCATCCAATCAGACGCTTGGCATCAAAAACTGTGTGTATGGGGTTCATTGCAACTTGATTTTTTGCAGCATCACCAATCAATCGTTCGGTGTCAGTAAAGGCAACATAACTTGGAGTGGTTTGGTCTCCCTGATCATTAGCAATTATCTCTACTTTTCCATGCTAGAAGACACCCCCACAAGAGTAGGTGGTGCCAAGATCAATACCACCGCAGGTCCCTTAGACATGGTTGCTTACTCGTAGAGCCGGCATGAATTAAGTAGGACACACAGAAGACCCAAGAGCTGCCCCCGAGTTCAGTCTTTTTTTTTTTTTAATGAATGTAAGTTTTTGTTTCATTCAGAGAAGTACCCAGGACTGAGTCATTTGCTACATATGTCTGACTAAGAAACTGTCAAACTGCAAGATCTCTTAAACCAGCCTGGGCAACACGGTGAGTTTCTAAAAATAATTAAGTAAATAAGAAACTGCTCAATTGTTTTACAAAGTAGTATCTCAGCCCCAACGTGTCAGGCTCCAGATACTCTGCACCAGGCCCAGCACTTGGTGTGGACAGTGTCTTTCATTTTAACCATTCTAAAACATGTACAGAAGTATCTAAAGGTTTGAATTTACATTTTCCTAATGGGTGATAAAGTAAAATATTTTTTTCATAGGATTATTTGCTATCAATCTATTTTCTTTAGTGAAATGTTTAACCTCTTACATTTTTAAATTGGCATCTTTTCTTATTACTGAGTTTTCAAAGCTCTTTACGTACATATTCTGGATACAAGTCCTTTATCAGATATGATTTGCAGTATTTTCTCCCAGTTTGTGGCTTCTCCTTTCCTCTTATGGTATCTGTTATCGATGAGCAGTAAAATTTGATGGAACCTCAGTTTACCTCTTTGTAAAAAATAGGTCATGCTTTTGGTATCACATCTAGGAAACCGCTTCCTAACCCAAGGAACTGCTTCCTAACCCAAATCACAAAGATTTTTTCCTAATATATTCTTATAGTACAGTAGTAGGTAGGAGGATCAGTGAGGCCAGGAATTTAAGACCAGCCTAACCAAGAAAGAGATTATCTATAAAAAACAGAAAAATCAGCCAGGAATGGTGTGGTGCGTGCCTATAGTTCCAGCCACTTGGGAGGCTGAGGCAGGTAGATGACTTCAGCCTAGGATAAGATGACCAGACGTCCCGATTTTTAACAATTTATCGCGCATCCCGCAGAATTTTTATAAAGTCCGGATTTTTGGAAAGAATGCACGACAATCTAGGGAAGGGCGGGACAGTGGGAAGGGACTATACAGTTTTTGGCTGCTGAAAAGGTTAATGTAACCCCATTTGGGAATGAAGAGGTTAACGTAACTTCATTTGGAAATGAAAAGGCTAATGTAAACTCCCTACTCCCCTCCTGGGTAAGGTAGCCCAGGTGGACGCCCTACTCCTTTGAGCCACAGGGCCCGCCCTATACACAGTTTTTTTTAAATGTATTATATTTGTAAATTGTACTTATGTTGAAATTTAAAAAAAAATTACAATACTATTTTTGTGTTCTATGAAAATTTTTGTTGCTCCATATAGACCAAATTTTTAATCAAGAACACACCCCTCCTCTGCCCCACTCCACCTCCCACTCCTCCCACCTCCCCCCATCAATGGTGTCCCACTTTACCAAGGTTAAAATCTGGTCACCTTAGCCTAGGAGTTTGAGGTTGCTATGAGCTATGAAGACAGCATCGCACTCTTAAGCTAGTTATCTTCCCTCATGATTAGGATACATTTTGTTTCAACACACACAAATGTGACTATAAAACAAAACTGATTCTCAGCCATGATTTACAGAAATAAAGAAACAGCCACAGAGGAATGTATTTGTAACATTTTCATCTGCAACAACTACTTTCAAGGCCAAAACACAATTGGTTGAGATGAATGCACATATAAAATTTATATCAGTAGAAAACAAAAAAATTACCTGAGTAAAGAATTAACATTTAATTTTATGTAGCATTGGCTCAGCGCCTGTAGCTTAGTGGTTAGGGCGCTGGCCACATATACCAGGGCTGGCAAGTTTGAACCCAGCCCAGAACTGCTAAACAACAATGACAACTACAACAGCAACAAAAAATAACCAGGCATTGTGGTGGGCGCCTGGAGTCCCAGCTACTTGGTAAGCTGAGGCAAAAAAATCGCTTAAGCCCAAGAGTTTTGAGGCTGCTATGAGCTATGACGCCATCGCACTCTACCGACGGCTGTAAGACTGTCTCAAAAGAAAAAAAAAATTATGTAGCACTGAATCCACAAGTGAGATTTACAGAAATAAAGGGGGAAAGCTCCTAAGTTTCACATTTCTGTAAGAAAATTAAAGAAGGTGTAACTGATGTCCATCGTGAAAATGTTACATACTAAAAAGATATTCAAACTAAAATTGGTATTTGAATCTTGACTCTTGGGGATCTTAGATCCCTTAAATGAAGTCTCATGTTCCATAAGATGTTCTCCTTATCTATAATTGATGTCAAAGTAATAATTTGATTCATCCGATTGAATGGTTGTACAGAAAAACTGAAACACAAGAAAATTTGGCAAGAGGGCACCTAAATATATATCAAGTTGATAAAAACTGTTCCAAATATTTTCACTAAGTGATAAGGAGTGGTTATAACCTGTTCTCTGTTTGGAACTTTTGTGAACAACTTGGTGGGAGGACATTTTGAGACAATAACTAGGATTAATGCTAAAAGTTTTCAGTATGTCCTGAAAACATGAAATTTGCCATGGAAAACTTTGCTGTTGTCCAAACTCAAGAAAAACATCCATATCAAAATCACAAGTGAGGATAATGTTAACTTGTTTATTTTATCTCAATGGCACTGTAACGTAGCAGATCCCACAAAGACCAAAAGTCAATTGGACTCATTGTTCAAGTCTGCTGGGTGCAACAAGGAGTTAACCGTGGCTCAGAAACTGTTTTCATCATCCCAGTTTTTTGGCTCATAGCCCATGAGTCAAAAGCAATAAACCAAAAGCTCTAACCACCCAGACTGCCTGTCCAGGTTATTCACCAGACTTGGCACTCAAAGACTTCTTGCCAATTGCAAAAATTGATTCTCACATCAAAGGATGAAGATATTGGCCAGTGAATATATTCAAATCCTAAAGGGGACCTTGAGGTACAATGGGAGTATTGTTGGAGTATATATAGTAACACACCATTTGGAAGTCAGATTCATTTCAACTTGAGACTAGTAAGTATCCTAGTAGAGACTTATAAGTAAGTCGTACTAAAACCACAAACCATAAAAACTACGGAACAATTGTCACTTTAAATCCTTTGTGGAACAAGATCAGATATGCACCTACCCGTGTAAATAAAGTGGCCCTGCCCAAAGACTTGGCCTGCTTTGTCTTAACTCTTCATTTCCCATTAGATAATATCCTAAGTGTTCATTAGATGGCTAATGGTAAAAAACTTGAAAAACCAAAATCTGTAGTCCACCTTTTCATTTTCTTATTGTGATTACAAAGATGCAGGATACACGCAGAGTCCGCCCTGAAAGCTCTGGGGCTGCCCTGGTCCCAGTTTGCCATCACTTACTTCTGCACACTCCCTATAGATTCCCTCAGACAAGGGACACCCTGTACTAAAACAAAGACTGAAAGCCTCCTTACCCTAGAGATAAATCAGAAAAGTATTATGATTTTAAAATGAAACTACTACAGAGCTAAAGAAGATCCCAGCCTAACTGAAGATGTAAACTATAACTCCAGTCTAGACTCTGGAAGCAAACCACAACAATAGATAGGTACTGCTCAAAATACTTTGCATCAAGGGCATGTATTAGTGGATTTCTATGTTCTGAGGTTTCTAAAGCCTTAAATGGAAAGAGTATAAGAGGTTTACTTAACAGAAATCCTGGCTGGACACCTGTAACTCAAGCGGCTAAGGTGCCAGCCACATACACCAGAGCTGGTGGGTTCGAATCCAGCCTGGGCCCACCAAACAACAATGACAACTTTAACCAAAAAAAGCAGGGTGTTGTGGCAGGTTCCTGTAGTCCCAGCTACTTGGGAGGCTGAGGCAAGAGAATCGCTTAAGTCCAGGAGTTTGAGGTTGCTGTGAGCTGTGATACCACAGCACTCTACCCAAGGCAACAGCTTGAGGCTCTCTCTCAAAAAAAAAAAAAAAAAAAATACTCAACAGAAATCCTGCTGCCCAGCTAGTTTATTGTAAAAGTACACAAAAAGCCAAGAAAAGGAATTAATATTTCATTTATTTTAGGCAAATTTTTTTTAATGTTATCTGCCAGATAAATCTGTATTCTCTTCCTCATTCCTCTGTTACGTTAATTCTTTTGCATAATTTGGGGGAGAGTCAGCAATGAATTACTCTACAGGAAGATGAAATACACTGTTGAGAAGGAAAAAATTCTTCCTCTACCCTTTAGGTTTAGTGGCTGAGATCCCTGAAAACTAATGAAAGATTAACAAGAGAAAAAAACAGGCAATGTGCATGCATACAGGAGAACTCAGTGATCAGTGACTCACAGGGGTAGTTAGAATTAGGGCTTACTAAAGTGTAGAGAAGAGGTTACACAATAGTTGGGCCTACAGGGGAGGGATAAGTTGTAGGAGGGTGACTATGCAATGTATGGTAAATAAGAGGTGTTTAATAAAGGATGCCTATACAAATGGAAATTTATATATACACACAGTCTTTAAACAGAAAGGGAGAAGGCAAAGAGCTAACTGCCTTCAGCTCAAAACAATCCTTATACCAAAGAGGCATATTTTAGGGTAACACACTCTGATCTTCTTCACATTTAGGGAACCAACAAGATACCAAAAAAAAAATTAGGAGAATACTTTTTTTAAAAAATTGACTTCTGATTTTTTTTTTTCTTTGAGACAGTCTCACTCTGTCACTCTGGGTACAGTGTCATGGGGCATCATACCTCACAGCAACCTCAAACTCTTGGACTCAAGGCATCCTCTTACCTTAGCCTCCTGAGTAGCTGGGACTGTAAGTGCCCACCACAATGCCCAGCTATTTGTTGTTGTAGTTGTCCTTGTTGTTTAGCTGGCCTCGGCTGGGTTCAAACCCCCCAGCCTCGGTGTATGTGGCTGGTACTGTAACCACTGTTAACGGGCGCCGAGTCTATTAAGGTTTTTTTTTTTTTTAGAGCTTTTTTTTTTTTAAGGCAGAGTCTCACTCTGTGGTCCAGGCTACAGCACCATTGTGTCAGCTTATCTCATAGCAATCTCAAATGCAGGTTCAAGCATCCTCCTGCCTCAGCTTCGCAAGTAGCTGGGACCATAGGCACCCAGTACAATGTCCAGCAAATTTTTCTATTTTTAGCAGAGACGGGGTTTCGGTCTTGCTCAGGTTGG